CCTAATGCTACTATCACATATATCATAACATAACATATTATCAGACATATCTGGGGTGCCTGAACTACCCTTCGGTCCTAGCAACCGATCTCGGGGACTAGTCCCCTCCTACTACCTCTATCGCATATAACGTAAAAAGCCAGCATGCAAACATATCATCATATACTATCAGACGTATCTGGGGTGTCTGACTACCCTTCGGTCCTAACAACTGAACTCTACTCCTATCACATACAACATATCATGCTAGCATATAACATATCAAGTAGTAGCAAACCTAGATGATATCACAAAGACAATCATCTATCATACATCTCCTACTGGTGAGCCGGCATTGTGGCCTTAGACCCACCGCTACTGGAAGGTAACTCACCTCGTAGTAGCTGCTGATCTGTATGGGAATGGTCTGTCTGCTGCTGCTGCTCCGGAAATCCTCCGGTTGTAATTCCCACAAAACACTTAGTCTAATACTGCTAACCGCCCTCAGGGTAAATTGTCCATTTACCCTTAACAAGTCATGAGTCAAGTCACAGTCAACTGCCAGTTGACCAGACTCGCCGAGTTGGCTTGCCAACTCGCTGAGTCCCTTTCTCTATACCCAAGTCCAATAATCCTTTATCCTACTTGCCGAGTTGTATGAACAACTCGCCAAGTTTTCCTTCATCCGAAGAACACTCTAAGCTGTGACTCGCCGAGTTGTATGAACAACTCGTCGAGTTGTTCTTGAGACAAGAAGATTGCCATGAACTCGCCGAGTCATGGCATTGACTCCCCGAGTGACTTCATGAGTGATTCTGGCTTCCAACCCACTGAGTCACACCCTATGACTCACTACTCCAACTTGCAAACACGAAAATGGGAAACTCGGGGACTCGCTACTCGACTCGCTGAGTCCGAGGGACGACTCACCGAGTCGGCCACATGCAATTACTATACACTCGATTTTTCTTGAATCCAGCACATGTCATTCATAGATCTGGGTTTCTAGGGCATGGATTACATGTAGAGTTTCCAACTTTACGTGTAAATAATCACCAATGAAGGTTTTAGGGCTCAAAGTGCAACAAAAGGGGTAGATCTAGGACTTTCATGCAATATGACTCCATAAAGGCAGTAGATCCAAGCTCCAGGGGCTAAATCATGCCTAGATTTGGAGGCTAACAACTTATTACAACCCACAAGGCACAAACAAGCTTAGGGAATGGCTCAAGAAGGATTTTCATGAAGCTAATAGAGAGTACAAGCTTGAAAACAGAGGGGAAACGAGTTATACCTCAAGGAAAACGTTGAGATGTCACAAAGATGCTTGGCCTCCTTCTCCTCTTGTTGATCTACTCTTCTTTCTCCTTAAAAACTTCAAGAACACACCAAAACACTTCAATCTCACAAGGAATAAAGGTAAAAACGATGTTGGGAGCTCTGAGGGTGAATGGGGGCGAGCTTGGGGCGGAAATGGGGGTTTAAATAGGGTGCAAACCCTTGAAATTTAGGGTTTCATCAAACAGTGGTGACTCGCCGAGTCCAGAATATGGACTCGCCGAGTCGCCAACTTAAACGTGCCCCCGGACCCCGTCCCTACTCGGCGAGTCGGATCTACAACTCGCCGAGTCCAAGGCTAAAAATGACCAATACTTAGATAAATTTTACGTACCAGGAACCAGGTGCTACAAGACCATTGGATGTGGAAAGACACTTCACTACAAAACCTTCTCCCCAGGCTATTGACTAGATGCTACAAATCATTACCAAGTGATTTTTTTAGGCTTTTAGGTGTTTGGAAGACGTAAGTACACATATTTTCTCCAACAAGAGACTTAACTGAAAGTTATTCTACGTAAATCGGAATATACTTTTAGTTTGAGGGTTACATGTATGAATTCTAATTTTGAGTTTTATTGCAATATTTTTATACTTATATGAAAATTCTTGATTGTTGAGTCTATTTTATAGGTCTTGAAATGTTAAATCAACATATGTCCAAATGCTTGTATTGCAGATGTGCTTCTGCACAGTTGTGGAATCAGGGATGGGGTTTATGAAAATTCTACATCTAACCATTCCATTAAACTATCAATTATTTATGAAAAAATTATCGAACTTATTTCACTGTTTTGATAACATTTGTTGTCGACTCAATTTCTCTTTCAGTTTCAGGTTCTTATATGGTCAAGTGGTCTCAAATTTGCTGCATGTGGTCTCAGATTTGTAGCATTTCTGACACCATATATTGATCTCATTAGGATTGGTGGATTAAGGTAATTACTTGATCTTTTTATTAAATTTACATATTTGAAAAGTATTTTTTTTTTCATGAATTCTAATGTTCCTCAAAATACAACTCATATTTCTATTTGTTTATCTCTATGGTTAGGATTAATAAATGAAAGAATAGATAAAAAAAAAAAAAAACATAAGCAAAAATAGAAAAAAATAAAAACAAATTCCCATAACATTGAACTTGAAGGTGCATACACCCTAAAACCTCTGTGTTAACTGCTAAGTGAAGTTTCCAAGGTAAATAACATTTCCCTCTTTCTCTTCATATTCTCTTTTGTTGTTGTATAGCCTCTATTGTTGCAGCTAACTCTAAAAAATGTTGATCGTTAGTACAAAAAGTTGCAATTAACTTTTTTATATGATTAAGAGCCTTCAAGATTTGCTAATTTTTCTTATAAAAATTTGAAAACTACTATAGGGAAATCTACTAAGGCGCTTTGGGAGGGAGGGTTAAGATAAGATGTCCCATGGAGTCTTGATGATGATTTAAGATTGTCATGGTTAGTTTGATTTTAGAATTACTTTATTTGGTTTTTTTTGTGTTTTTTTGATGATTTTTTTTAGTTCAACAGATACATATGGGCAATCTACAAATCACCATCATCTTCTCTGGTTTTTTCATCAAGGTAGCCTCCCCCCCCCCCCCCCCCCCCCCCCACACACACACCACCCACCCCCCACCCACACACACACACACACATATATATATATATATATATATATATATATATATATATATATATTTGATGTTTTAAGTTTTAGAACCATGTTACAAATTTAAGACATAATCAATAGAAGCTTTTAGAGATTCAATAACATTGTTTTGTTGAAGAAAAATTGAAAGTTGGAATCTTTTACGATTAAATATTTTCTTGAATATAGGACACATGGATTCATCGAAATAAGTTGGAATATCCACCACCACCTTTATCACCGCCTGTACCACCATCGTCGGGATCAACACCTCCAACATCAGCGCCATCTCCACCACCACAACCGCCCCACCACCATCCGTCTCTATGCAGGCTGAAAGTTTAAATAGTGGCAGAGATGTATCTGGTGAAGTGGGTTCAACAATAATTACATTACTATTTGAAGTTCCAAACTTTATAAAATGTTGGATGTTTTATAAAAATTTTTATTGTTTATCTTTCAGATTTTTAATATTCCTGATGATTGATCTCAAAATCAACCCGAAGGTGATGGCCTTCAGGTCCTACTTTTAATGTTTAAAGATATGAATCTTAGGAATAGCGAAGTTACCATTTTTTTTGGCAAAATTGATCCTTGTACTATTGTTTGGCTTCAAAGTTAGGAATAGTAAATTTGGATTTTTTTTGTCAACTTTGCTCCTCATTCTTTACCCATTTTGACACTTTTGGTCCTTGCAATCCATATTTTTATACTTTTTAGGAACCTTTAATATTTAAAGTTTGGTCATAAACTTTAACGGTTTGACAACTTTGATTCATTTTCTAAAAACTTGCTAAATCCTACTCATTTGATTCTTTAGTCATTTTGACACTTCTGATATTTGCAGTCAAAACTTTTATATTTTTTTATAAAAACATGAAAAAAAATGGTCCGGGGCAAAGCCCGGGCTTTTCATCCTTACACTTTGTACGTCTATCATATTTATCGATTCGGAAACAACATCGAAAACTTCTGACCCACGCGTAACGGAGTTACCTTTCTAGTTATTATTAAAATAAACGGTTCAAGTTGCACATTCTACAGGCCAAGAGTTCAAGAGGCCACGAGTTCGACCCGGACTCTTGTTTTCCTTTTTTCCTCTCAACTTAAGATGCTACCTACATAAACCATCATTATTCCACGTAACCTGCTGAAAAGGTCACTGAAGTATAAAATTTCTGTAAATTTTCATAAAAATTTGGGGAAATTCGAGAAAACCAAAAACCAATCGAACATATATATATATATATATATATATATATATATATATATATATATATATATATATATATATATATATATATATATATATATATATATATATATATAAAACAGTTTTCATTTTTTTAACACCCTTGCGACTTGCCATATATAAACCAATATAAATACATCTGATCAACACCGGCTACCGACAAATGGTAACTTGTTTCATCGGAAGCATTTTATACTTAAGTCTACTCAGATTATGGAAGCTGAGCGCATAGATTGAAGTCTTCTTCTTCTTCTTCTTCTTCTTCTTCTTCTTCTAGGATTTGTCGTCCAAACATTATTCGATCAACTTTTAAACTTCAATTTACAGCACAAATTAAGTAAAACAAAAGCATCACGTACAAGATCTTTGTTGGTTCAGGCCCCTCAGAAAACACACACAATTACACACACTCAGAACTTACGTTATGCACTGAAGGTGCTTTTCTTGGTATTTTAATTAAATAAAGATGTGCCTTATATAGGCTTACAAACTAGCAACAGATAAAACAAACGTGGCAACATAAAACAAGGAATAAAATGCTATCTACTAACCCACTACCACCTAAAGAACCGGTACAAGGATTGACCCATATTTTTATACCCAACATGCCCATTAAAAATCAGTTAATTAAACTTATCCCACATTTCCTTATTCAAATTCTGCATAAAGAAAATTATGGATCAAATTACCCTTAAACAACCGATTAAATCCAACAATCTTAAACGCCTTATCTAGTTATTACGATGCAAACAAGAACCAAAACCTCTCCAGATCATTACTACCCACGTCCACATGTGTTATAAATATCACATGGCCGACCATTGTGGCGAATATTGTACGGTCCTTTACAACCTTCGCCTTCACAAGCCGGATTAGCAGGCTTTAGAGCCCCTTGAGTGAGATGCGGCTTAGGAGGTTTTGTCTTCTCCAGAATCCACCTATGTACTTCTGTATCCATCTGAAACTCGACCTCTTCGTCGAACTCAACAACATGGATGCACTCCACCGTGGTGCTGCCGTTGCATGGCGTCATCCACCCATCACACTCTTTCACCATACTCGTCATCATCATCATCATCATTGATACTGAAAACATGGCTGTAGTGAAGCTGATAGGGCTTAGTCGTCCATTGATGATCACCATCTTCGTTTTCTTGTGACGACGACTTAGGGTGGTGTTTCAATTCTAGATCGTTGCTTATAATGAAGTCGTTAATGGAATTGCTTTAATTGGATAGCGAATACCTTTTGCTTTATAAAAGATTGCTGTCGGGGGTTTTAATAATCTTTGGACATGGTTGAGTAACAGTAGAAGCGCACAGGAGCCAATCTTAAAGAAAGGAACCCAACAAAAACCATAGTCCGGTTAATTAGAGGTTTTTTTACTTTTATCTATATTTTCTTTACCTTGTTATTTCTTTTATATATTATAATTTATAAGCAGCCCATTCTTTACTTTATAAAGGATAAGGAGAACTGTACTGTGACCTCTTTTTCTTGTCCTTGAATTGCTCTTTTCATAAAGCTAGCTACCGGCGCTTTTTCATAATTAGATCATTTTGTGTCACCGACGGTTTTAAGTCCACGTGTTTCACCTGGACTTTATATAATTACTGATACATGTTTAAAAGTTTATTTATTTTTATTTAACAAACTAATATAAAGGATTAAAAAATTATTTCCTGCGGAACAAACTAGTAGAAAAAATTAATTTCTGCAAAGTACAAAGACAAATGGATCATTTTTTTAGTTTTACTATTAGTAAATTTTGTTTTAAACTATCATATATTAGCCATTTCTATAGTTTTACAATTATATAGAGATTATTTTTGAAATTCTAAAAAAATTAAAAACACATGTAGAACTTACGGAATCTTTTCATTTTTCCTATAGATCATTATGTAAGTTTTTTTGGACTAGGGTGGGTATTTAGAATGAACCTAAAAGGATCGGACCGAATCGGCTTTTGGACCGGATCGGTTTTACATAAATTGGTGACAGACAAGTTGACGCGGGGTTTTCCGATTCTTTTCAACTTGTTAGATCAGTATATAATTTAGGTGTATATGATACAACTAGTTGAAACCCTACTAAAAGTAAGTTTATCTATTATGACTATAGGGATAAATATTTGGACCGAACCTGACTGGAACCAGACCGGACCGACTCTTGGATCAGACTGATTTATCAGAAGTTGGTGGATCTTGGACCGAACCTGTTTAGGCCGGTTCAGAGGTGCAAATATTCACCTCTACTCATGACTATTTCTTTTATTTTGTTTTATACTTTTACACGGGTCGTTTTTGTAAATTTAATATTAAATATACACTATTTAACATTTTTATTTCTTGCTATTACAAATGGATATTTTATGTAATTTTGCTATTATAGATGATGAACTGTTTTATAAATTTGTTTATACTATTATATATGGGTTATTACTATAAATTTATTATTAAACTGTTGTTGTAATTCTTATTTCAAGCTGTTATAATGGATATTTTCTATAACTTTGCTATTCACCCGATACTATTTCTATAATTTTGCTATTAAACAATTATACTTCTACAAATTAGAAAGAACATTGTTGTTTGTGATGTGAATTTAGGAGTAAATATTAAAATATAAAATGTTTGTTTATAAAAATACTAGGAGTGATAAAGGGTCACGCTGAGCACCACCCGAAGATTTCAGAATCAAAATGAAAGTATATTGCTATTTTAGTTGCTTAAGTTTTAAAACCACCTTAAGCGGTTCCGATTCTGATCCTCGTTTTTTCGGAACCGATACCCGCTAGAACCGGTTTGTATATATAGAAAGAGAGAGAGAGAGAGAGAGAGAGAGAGAGAGAGAGAGAGGTAGGTTCCGTTGAGATTAAAAATAAAATAGAGATCTTGAGATTCAACCTCAGCAACATATTTCAAGTCTGCTATTCTAACCCCCGGCCACCATCCCAACCGCCACCGTCACCACCACTACCACCACCTCTAACACCAGCTGACACCACCACTATCACCTCTGTCGCTTATATCACCGTTACCTTTGTCACCACCACATTTTCTGCCACTAGCTGTGTAATCATATATGATTACACAGTCTGTGAACATATATGTATAATCATTTATGATTATGCATACACTGTTGTTGTCGGTACACTGGAACGTTAGAACAGCAAATAAAAAATGTATGACTCAGATTGAATCTCAAAATCTTTACCTTTTTTTAATCTCAAGTGAACCGTCCTTATATATATATATATATATATATATATATATATATATATATATATATATATATATATATATATATATATATATATATATATATATATATATATATATATAAAACATAATTTGGTGGACTCAAGCAACTTATTTTGATTGGAAATTATATTTACCATTTAATGATAGTATAAAATAGTTTGGTCCCAATTTGCATATTATGCTGCTTTTAATTGGTTGGTGTCATGAAATTAAAATTCAACATCATTTGATATATTCCCTTATAGAGTGAATGATGTAAAATTGTACGCAATAAAATGAAGAGTCGGTGTTAAATAACTTTTACTCACTTATAATTTGGTTTTTTAATAACTAACCTGTATAATTCCAACATTGATTCGCTTGCTTTCTTTCTAAAACAGTCATGGATTATAACAATTTTAATCGACCAATTCTTTTAACTGGCCTCAAAATTTAATCAGAACGTTTATTATAATTATAGTAAGCATGGTAATAACTATAATCGTAGTAAAACACTATAATCAGGACATTAAGCATTGGAATCTTAAGTAGTACTAAAATCATCAGATTAAATAGAAAGTGGGTATCTAGAGCCAGAACCAACCATTGATTTGTTTTCTTAACCAAATCTTTTTTTTTTGAAGTGGATACCCTGAACCGAAATTGGAACCCACCGGTTCTGTTCCTGTTCCAAAATATTGGGAACCGATACAACCGGTTCTGGTTCCAGTTCCAACATCTTAAGAACCGCCGGTTCCGGTTTCGGTTTCGATTCCGGTTCCGTTCAACTAAATTTAAGCGGGCAACCGCCTACGCTCATCCCTACCTAAATATGCAACGATGCAAATTGTTAGACTGTTAAATGATATATTATGGTACAAAGTGAACAAGAAATCTTAAGACTCCCACAAACTTTAGGCTAAAGTGGTAGAACATTTTAATAGGCGGTTATTGACAAACTATATTTAGGCTCCAGTGAGTAGAACTTGGTAGAAATTATAAAATAAAATAAAAAAGATAATTGTGTTTCAACTACGATTTACCCTCTTTGTTATTAACAGGACTAGCACATATAAACCAATTTTCATGAACTACAAAAGATTATGAACCAAAACGACCAATAATTAAAAACATCAACATATGAAACATTGATAAGGATGTAAATATTTGAAATTGTATAACTTATTAGACTTAAGCATAATCTAAACTTGTCTATCTCTAATTTGATCGGGGCAACTATGGTTATGAAAACAGCTCCACTAAGATATTGCTCAAAATCAAGGAGAATTTACAACACTATAAACATAAGTGGTACAATGGTTTGATCATGAAAAAACAAATAGTTAGAAATTAATGGTAAAAGTAGGTTTCAATTCCTTTACAAGACACAATTTACAGTAGCAGGTATTTAAGGGAGATATCAAAAGTTGGTAGGTATTTTTAACAAATACTAATTCTCTATCCTTTAGGAGTAACCTAAACTAATCATGTAATCAACTTCAGTTCACAATTTCAATACCGAAAGATTGATCTCTACTTAAATGCCACCAACACCAACCGAAAGGAAATTATTTATAAATTTATCAAGCGAAGCAGATTGTACAAAACTTCAATTTCACCTATTTGTTTACATATTTCACCTATTTGTTGAAATACCCACCGTACATGTGGAAGAACACTCTAGAATATGTCACATTGCTGATCAAGGTGACCTAAAAGGTTTAACAATGAATGGGGAAATAAGAAATGCATATAAGGTGTTAGAAAAAAAAAAGATATAAGAGTTGCATATGCATAGAAGGTGGTCCACAAAATGCTTGAAAGAATAATTTTCCCTACATTAAACCTCTTAAGTGTTAAGCCCATTTATGAAGCATACATCACTATAATTTATCCGATTACCCGGTATCAGGTCAATAAGCCCATTCATATTTCATTTTTTTAATGTACAAAAAATAATTAAATAATCTTTGAAAACAAACATAACAAATTTGATCGGTTAAAATGATATTTGATAGGTTGAAGAATTGAAGGTTTCTAAAGGAACACAAGGAGGCTGATACTTCCCCGACGAACATGTCATTGGCAAGGGAAAACTTTTTAAGAATGGGGAAATACTTCAAGAAATCGAAATCCCTAGATACTCTCTATCCATTTAAATGGATTTTGATAAAAGAACAAATTGTCAAAATATAATTTTGACTTTTAAAGTCATATCAGTGATTCACTTCGAGTTTATTTGCTCATAAATCATAAAAATAAGTTATAAAACTAATTTAGTAAATTCGAAATAAATCGTTGAAACAATGTATAATTTCCTCTGTTACTTATTCCATGTCTCATTTATTATTTTTTGTTGTCATTATAAATAGCCCCATGTTATGGATCTTTTTGGCCAATCAATCCAATAAGTATGATACTTTATATTTTTTTTAGAACATCTGATTGATTTTATTAAAAAGGTAGCCTAAGGCTAACGAAAAATTACAAATGAATGGAAAGAATAAGATTTAAATATATCAAACGATTATGTTAACATTGATTTTTATATTTCTATTAGCAATATAACCATATAAATTAATAATCGATTAATCTATCAATAATGAACAAATTTTTTCTAATATTATATATGCCTGCAAAAATAATATAATTTCAAAAAATCCAAAAAAAAAAAATCCACAACATATTTTTTTCTAATAGTATTATGCCTGTAAAAATAATATAGTTTCAAAAATACGAAAAAGAAATCCACAACATGATTGACAATTAAAGCTTCCAACAAGTAAAATTCCACCAAGCTTTTGATGATTTGAAATCTAACTTTGTCATGAGTTTGGTTGATACGAGATTAAATGAATTAAATTTCTTATAAATTTATTGGATTTGAAAACTAATAATAACAAATGAGTTTGGATGATATATTAACATGACATGCATCTCAAATCATTAAATATTCAAAGACATGTTCACAGGTCACAAACGAACGACGACAGAAAAGTCGTGAACAGAAAGCATCAACAAGAACTTAATGAAAGACCTCCATAACGATGAAAACAACAAAGAACAAACAAGAACCAAAACCTCTCCATATCACTTCCGACATTGTTTAAACGCAGCACATGGCCGACCATTGTTGCGAATATTGTACTTTCCTTCACAACCTTTGCCTTTACAAACCGGATTACCAGGCTTTAGAGCCTTTGGAACGATATGCGGCTTAGGAGAGTTTGTCTGCACCAGAATCCACCTATGTACTTCTGTATCCATCTGAAACTCTATCTCTTCGTCGACGTCAACAACATGGATGCACTCCACCATGGTGCTGCCGTTGCATGGCGTCATCCACCCATCACACTCTTTCACCATAGTCGTCGTCATCATCATCATCATCATCATTGATAGTGATAACATGGTTGTAGTGAAGCAGATAGGGCTTCGTCGTCCATTGATAATCACCATCTTCGTTTTCTTGTGACGACTTAGGGTGGTGTTTCAATTCTCGATCGTTGCTTATAATGAAGTCCTTAATGGAATTGCTTTTTTGGATAACGAGAACCTTTTGCTTTATAAAAGATTGATGTCGGGGGTTCAATAATCTTTGGACATGGTTAAGTAAAAATAGAAGCTCACAGGAGCCAATCTTAAAGAAAGGAACCCAACCAAAACAATAGTCCGGTTAGAGGTTTCTTTTACTTTATATATATATATATATATATATATATATATATATATATATATATATATATATATTGTTGGGAATATTAGGGTTTGTGGTGGAGATTTGGATACCAACTTGGATCGTGATATCACTTTCCGAACTGATATTTCTACTCTATGTCTGGGTTACTAGAAATTCAGTCTAGGATAATCCAAGTGGACACTGACGTTTCTAGGCACAGAACACGTAAGTCAATATGCTAAAAGGTTTTGTGAATGTGTGATGAAAAACGAGAGCTAAAGAACGTGCCGCTTCTGGAACGAAAGATTTGTTTATATATTAAACACAATTAGGGTTTTATTAGGGTTGGGCCATCATTAGTTGCTTTGGAAGCAACTAATATTAATCCGGATTAGGGTTACCAAAACTAACGAGTTTCGTTAGTTTTACCATAATCACCCTCAAGAAATTAAGATTTCCATTAAGTTACCACATGCAAAATTCGGTGAGGTTTTGGGGCTCTGCCCCTTAGACCCCACTACGAGCGCTGCCCCTAGACCCTGCCAAAGGGGCGCTGCCCCCGGACCCCTGACTAGTCGTTGAACCGGCTTCTGACTCGATCTTATACATGCGTGCACTCCGCACAACACCGTACATGTATTAGAGTACAAATCATGAAGCCCCTTAGCTCACATGTTAGTTCCAATTACTTAAAATGACATGGTGACACTAAAATCACCAACAATCCTCCCCCATTTTAGTGTAACCCTTGCACAAACATAACCTTATCAACAACAAACCAAACTAGTACATAATGAAAATATTGAAACAATTGAATTTCCACTTAGTATCATACAACTGCAAATACTCAAGAATCAAGGTGTTATAAGAATTGAGCCCGTCAACCCATTTGAATACCAGAAAGTAAAATACATACTAGTTTATTGAATTTCTAGCATAATACAACTTGACACTATTATAAAGCCGTGTGTCCCAATCCTCTCATGATCGTATCAAGGTCAAGTCCACAACCTCTTGAAATGCGGCTACACTTCACAATCACGTAGGTAACTCCTTTCCATGTATCTGCACATACATTTATCAGTGGAATTATTAAGAAGTTAAACTTCAACCTGGCTAACTTGCAGATAGGGGTGAGCAAAAACCGAATCGCAAACCAAAAAAACCGAAAAAAATGCATAAACCGAAACCGAAATGAAAACCGATGGTGCGGTTTTTAGTTTTGCGAAAACCGAAAATACTCGGTGCGGTGCGGTTTCTAGTCTCGTAAAAACCGCAAAAAACCGAACCGCACCGCATATATATATATTAAGTGTTGATATTTGTAAGAACGAATAACTTATGACAATTAAAATTTTTATAAATATAAATATCTATCTTATCTATCAGATGGTGATTCTATATTTTTAACTTATGACAATTAAAATTTTTACAATAACAAATAATGTTTATGACATTTTTTAACATTTAAATGTGAAAAGTACTAGTGATGATAGTATCATTTTTATGAATACATTAATATTATTGCATGTACATGTGAAACAAATATTATATTAAATTCGTATT